ATCCCAGGCCCAGAGGAGGTGAACCAGGGCAACTTGGTGAAGCCCAGGCCTACTCCTATGGGACTGGTTGCTGCAGACCTGTGTCCTCATAGGACATTTGCTCAGCCCACTGTCGTGGGACCCAGGGACCCTGGGACAGGCAAAGAGGGTGGAAACCCTGTGGGGCTGCCATCTTGCCTGAGATGGGGTGACCAGGCATTCTCTTCCTTCTTCTCTCCCTCCTGGTGCCTCTTGGCAGCCCTGGTCCCTTCATTGCCCCTGGCCCCCTCTTGGCAGCCCCCACTAGCCTGACTCTGATCTCGTCCTTGCATGCAGACCCAGAGAGGGCAAGGAGGGTTGGGTCTGCTCCAGGGAGCTTCCACCCCATTTCCTGCTCTCCTCCTCTTCACCACCCCCTCTCCCCAGGAAATTTTTCATTTCACTGAAAAATGTGACTGTTTGATTCTGTCTGCCACCCTGCCTGCCAAAGGGCATCAGAGCAGATTGGGATGTGGGAGGTTGGGACCCCAGGGAGCCACGAAGGCCTGGGGGAGTTGTGGATGGAGCTGCCTGTCCCTCCACCAGGTCCAGCAGGGCTGGGCTCCCTGCTGCCTCCATGGGCTAACTTCCTCTCTCTACACCTTTGCTCAGGCTGTGTCTTGCCTGTGACACCCTTCCTCCCCCTGGCTTTCACAGTTCAACCCCAACCTTCCTTTGCCCATTCCCTGGGACTTGGCTTCTATCTCTACTATGACATTAGCCAAACAACCCCTTCCATCCCTTCCCACCTCGAACTTTCTATGTTCCAGGCAGGGACAGTGAAGGCGTGAGCATCATTTCTGGAGACACATATCTAGCTGCTCCTCACAAGCATAGGGGCTACCTTGGACAATCTGATCTGGAACCTGAGGAGCCTTTTTAAGAGGCCACAAGATGGAAGGGGAGCTGGAGGTGAAGAGGAAACTCTTCAGCTGCTGTCCCCACAACCCTCCCTCTTCTTCCCCCTCCTCTCTCCCCCAGCCTCCAGCCCCCCCCCCCTTCCTGTGTCATTAATGCCACCAAGGTCATCACCACCCAAGTACATGTTGGCTAATGCCCCTCTTGCTCTTTGGATCCTCTGGCTGGAAACATGGGCAGCCTTCCTCAGGCGCCATTGCTAGGTCTTCTTGCTCACCTCTCCTGGAAGCCCTTTTGTCTGCACCTTGGCCCTCATGGCTTTTATGGAGTCCCCAGTCACAGGCCGTGATGAGGAGGGCCCTGAGGTCCAAAGCGGGGGGTGGCGCCACAGTCAGTTGGTTGGGCCCAAGGCCTGGGGCTCCTAGGTCTCTCTAGGCCCTAAGAGTCCAACCCCAAGGTTGGTCCTATGACCACTTGGGGAGAGAGGTAACCAGAGAAGGGGCACTGGTAGAGAGAAATGCACTGCCCCCTGGCCCCCCATCTCGGGCAAGCTGAGGCTGAGGCTTAGGCACCAAGACTCCCGACCTACCAAGCCAGTTTGCCCAATCCCTCTTTCCTAAAGCAGCTGAAGGACCACCCCACTCAGCTCTTAGCTCCCAGCCAGGGGGTAGCTAACAGACATTCTGGAAAGGAGAAAAATTCATTAGCGGATATGTAAGTCCCAAACCAATTAGCGGCGATTAATACCCTTGGCTGAAGCGACAGGTGGCTTATTATTGTGTTCAGCTCCCACCTTTCCTCCCTAGTCCCTGCCCCAGGATCCTTGGAAATCCCAGCCTCCTGCAATTGGGGGTAGAGTAGGTGAGAGTAAGGATCCAGGGACCCCTCCTCACTCAGGGCCCACTTTGGCCATTGCTATGCTGTGATGAAGAGAGGGAAAGATCTGCAGCCCCAGCCCAGATCTGCAGCCCCAGCCCCAGCCTGGATCCACAGCCCCAGCCTGGATCTGCAGCCACAGCCACAGCCCCAGCCCAGATCTGCAGCCCCAGCATGGATCCACAGCCCCAGCCTGAATCTGCAGCCCCAGCCCCAGTCCGGATCCACAGCCCCAGTCCAGATCCACAGCCCTAACCCGGATCTGCAGCCCCAGCCCAGATCTGCAGCTACATCCTAGATCTTAGACTCACTTGGGCAAGCTGCTTCCTTTCCATGAGCCTCAGTTTCCTCATTTGTTAAATTGAGAAAATAAACCGTGGATTAGTAAAGTAATATTGGTTGGGCCTTTGTCAACAGCAAGGACCCAGGGGCTTCCAGTCTGTCACCTGGCAGCCTAAGAGTAGGTAATGGGGTGGATGCTGCTAGAACCACCAGGACTTGGATGTGAGGAAGACCCCAGCCTGGGGTGGGAAGAGCTGGCTCCCATTAGGAGGTTTCTGGGGAGAGAGGACTGCTCCCACTCCTGGCCCCCCAGTGGCCTTCCAACCTTCCCCTCTCAAGCATCCCCCTGACCTGGTTCTCCTCCAGTGTCCAGCCAATCCTCCTCTCTTTCTAGTTTTTCACTAACTTTCCTTCCATCCCAGTGTCCCCAACCCTGTCCCTCCCCCTCCCTCTCCTCCCTCCAGTGTCTTCCAACTTTTCCCTTTTCCTATCTCTCCTCTAGTGCCCCCCAGCCTTCTCCATCTCTCCTCCCCCTCCCCCTCCAGTGTCCCTCCAGTTTCTTCCTTCCTTGGAATCTGGCTTTTTAGTTTTTCAGGGCCCTGCCCTTTTCAGCCCACTGGTGTGGCTATATCTCCCTTGCCCAGGCCCTGGACCACGGTGCCAAGATCTATTTCTGGGCTTCCTGTAAGTGAGGACAGATCAACAGACCCTGGACTTGGGGCCTGGTGGTTGGCAGTGATTCCCTACCTCCTTCCTTTCCCCAGCCCTGGCCCCAGAGAGTCATGGTGGCCTCTGGAGAGGGGTGGGGGTATCCCCTGGGCTCCAGTTCTCTCTAGCTAATCAGCCCTGGTGGGCTGAGGGTGTACCATTTCCTAGGCTTATGGGCCCCAGGGGGAGAGACAGGCAATTAGACCCCTATTGGCCACTGACAAACGAGGGCACATCCCCTCCCTCTTCCTCTCTGCCCCCTCCTCCTTCCTCTCTGCCTCCTTCCTCTCTGCCCCTTCCTCTCTGCCCCACTCCCTTTTCCTCTCTGCCCTCGTCCCCTTCCTCTCTGCCCTCTCCCCCTTCCTCTCTGCCCCCTCCCTCTTACTCTCTGCCCCTCTCCCCCTTCCTCTCTGACCCTTTCCTCTCTGCCCCCCCCTCTGCCCCCCTCCCTTTTCCTCTCTGCCCTCTCCCCTTTCCTCTCTGCTCCCTCCCCCTTCCTCTCTGCCCTCCTTCCTCTCTGCCCCTCCCCTTCCTTTCTGTCCCCCTCCCTTTTCCTCTCTGCCCCCTCCCCCTTCCTCTCTGCCCTCTCCCTCTTCCTCTCTGCCCTCCTTCCTCTCTGCCCTCCTTCCTCTCTGCCCCTGCCTCCTTCCTCTCTGCCCCCTCCCTCTTCCCTGATGTGCACCTCGACACCTCCCAAGCAAGGCCCCTGGTTGGCTTGCTGGGGAAGTGAGGGGAAGGCTGTGGCTTTTGCTCAGGAAGGACCAAGTACTCCAAGGAGATCTTCCTTTGAGCTGACTTCTAGCCTTCTTGCTGCAGGCCAGGGAAGCTTGCTCATTCTGCTTTAGTCTTCAGTGGAAATCACTAAAAGCAGCATAGGTCCTCGTTGAGGAAGAGGACCCTGGCTCTGGCCCCTCTCTAGCTGTGTGTCCTTGGACAAGTTTCTTTCCCTCTCTGAGCCTCAGTTTCCAGTTCTGTAAAATGTGATGGAATAGAGGGATAGGGTAGGGGGTGGAATGAGATGATCTCTGAGGTTCCTTTTAGTGCTAAATCCTAAGTGTGAATGTGCAGCCTCCCAAGGAATGTGTCTTGGCCTGAGGCCAGAGAGTCCTTTGTGGTAGAGGGTGGAGGAGGGGCGTTGGGGGAGGGAGTTCTTTCCTCGGACTCTCGTTCCACGTCTCTGCTCCGGCCTTCTCCTCCCTTCCGGGCCTCTTCTCTCACTATCTCTCTCCCCTTGGGGCCTCTTTGCTAGTTGCCATAGGCCCAGAGAATTTTAGGATTTAGAATCGGAAAGGCCTTCCAAGCCCATCCAATCCGAACCGGTCATTTTATAAAGCAGGAAAACTGAGACCCCGGGAGGTGAGGGAATCGCCCAAGCTCTCCCACTGGGAGGGACTGCCAGATCATCTCTTCTAACCCCGTCCTTTTACAGGGAAGGAAACCCGGGTCCAGATAGCGGAAGGGACCTGGCTGAGGCCCAGAGTTCTAAAGGGTCAGTGCCTGAACTGGCCCCCTGGGCCTTGGACTCAACCCCAGTGCTCTGGGGTGCCAGGCTCTGCCTACATCCCCTCTCCTTGGAGCCTGGACAGCGTATGGGAGGACTGGGATGATGAGAACCCTCCCCTGGAGACCCAGCACACTTTCACTGGGAGCAGAAGGCTGAGCCTGGGGGGCTACAAAGAAGGCCAATTCCTTGGCCCTGACCCCCATTAGAGGTCTTTTCAGCTTGAGGGGGCCTCTGGCTTCTGCTTCCCAATGGGATTGGATGGAGAGTGCTTCCAGGTCTCGAATGAATGGAGCCCACTTTTCATTCCACTCTGGATCCCCCGCAAGTTCTATTCCTCAATTCACGGTGGGGTGTCGTGAAAATGAGGAGACTGCAGTCAATCAGCATCTCTCATCTGCACCCAGGCCTAGAGCAAGACTAGAACGAACAGTCTGCAGTCCCCTCCCCACTCCAACTCCCTCAGGGGACTCAATTTCTCCTCTTTCTGTCCCCCTCCAGTCAGGCCCACCAGCCAGCTTGGGCAAGAAAGGGAAGGTGGAAGACTGGACCTCAGGAGCCCTGGGGGAAGAGAGGTCCTCAGGGCAGCCTGGGCCACCTGCTAGGAGTTTGGGGGCAGGGGGAGAGAGGAAGGAGCCCTAGTTGTTAAAAATAGGTATCTTTTGTCTCTCCTCCTGTATAGCACTTTATTTGCTCACCCCTAGAGAAGCATTTCTAATAACAGAGAAGGTTTTTTTGTTTCGTTTTGTTTTTTTAGGAGAAGAGAAAACCAATCTGCCACCAAAGTGGGCAATGCTTTCAAAATGTTGGATGGTTTCATGCTTCTGGACCCCAGGGTGTCTTCTTCCTCTTCTTGTGAAGTTTGCACCATTCACTTTTGAGTATTTCATGGTCGGTTATTCTTCCTATTTCCATCATTGGAACTGTGTTGACTGTTTTGCCTTCCTTCATTCGGCATCGATTGCCCCCTTGGTATTTGCCATGTTTGTCATTTCTTAGGCCACAGTCAGATTCCATTCCACCCGTGTAGCTGTTCCCCAATAGATGGGCGTCGACTTTGGGGCCAGTTCTTTGCTCCCCTATCCACATGCTTTTGGTCAAAGACCTCCTTGGGGCATGTGCCTGGCGGCAGTGAGATCTCTGGGGCAAAGGGCTTTGATGGATATTGTAGTCACTTTCTCTGCATAATTCCCAATGGTTTTCCATAATGGTTGGACAAGTTCGCCAGCGGTTGATTCCTGCCAGGTAATGGTTCCTGGTCAACTCCCTCCATCTGCCCCGCCCTACACCCCTCCCTCTGCTACTCCTCAGTGCCCCTAGCTCTTGATTTGGGATAGACAAGCTTAACTAGCTCCTCCTTTGACACCCTGGTGCCTAAAGTCACCTTCCACTTGTTTACTTTTTAAAAAAATATTTTAAAATTTTATTTTAAACTTAAACACGAAATAAGGCGGGGGGGGGGGGAAGCATTGCCACGTGCACAGCAGAACGTAAGAGAGGCTCCAAAATAGACAGCAATCAATTTCCGTTTCAAGAAAGCCTATTGATAAATACTACACATTGTGTTCTGAGTTGCCCGGCTTCTGTTTGCTTCCTTGTAAGTTTTTGTTTGTTCTCTGCTGTGCACTTTTTACTTTGCTCTTTTGTCTTCTTCCCCCCCCCCCGCTACAATTAATCGAGGACAGATTTATATATACATAATATACATACACATATATGCACATGCATACATACATACGTGCAAACACATATACATACATATACATACACTTACAGACACATACATATACTTAGATATCTATGATCATACTCATATATAGACATATACATTCATACACATCTATGTAAGGCCGTACTGTACTTGTCTGTCCTCTGTTTCTCTGACGGTGGATAACGTCTTCCTTGGTAAGTCCGAGTCTATTCTGTATTTTTCTAAGTCCACCCACTCGTCCTTTCCTGCACCACAGCCATTTTCCAACCTTATACTGTCGAGTTATTTTAAATAGTCTAAAATAATATTGACTAATCTGGCTGATAAATGGTGTACTTTCCCTATTTTTCTCTTTTGATTAAATCTATTTTAGCCTTAACTTTGTCTGAGATCGTGATTACTACCCCTGCTTTTTTTCCCTAATAAATTCTACTCCTGATCTTTATTTTATGTTTGTGTGTATCTCTTATTTCCTATGACTCCTGACTCCTCTACTTTACTTCTACCCACTACCTTGCCCTCCTGTTACTTAACACCCCCCCCCCCCAAAGATCCCTCCCTTGTCCTCAGTTGTTTACTCTTACAACATCTGGCTGGCAATGCTTAGGTAGGTCACTAGAGCCCTGGGGCAGAGAGAGGCCCGAGGACCATTGCAGGCCGAGGTGGTGGTGGTGGTGGGGGGGGCTTTGGCACTGGAAGGCACCCAACTCGGATAGAAATGGAGAAGGACTCTGTCTCCTCAGGGACCCTGGCTGTGTCTCCTACCCCAAGTATCATTTCCTCAGGCTCCCTGAATACTTTCAGGGAGCTCCTGCCTATCCTAGGTTTGCCTTTGGCAGCCCTGGGCCCCTGAACCCTAATGCTTGGCCCCTCCCCTCCTGCCCTGTTTGCAGCCTGGCTCCTTGGAGGTGAGAGCTATGTGGAGAGCTAGCCTGCCGCCAAGCCCCCAGCTGTCTCAGCTCCTGCTGCTAGGAACAAGAAGCTTATTAAGAGAAGCCTTGAGACCTGCTCGCTCCAGAGTCCCACGGCTGGGCCTGAGCCTGGGCCTGGGGGTGTGGGGGGTGGGGGGAGCACCCACAGAGTTCCATTTCCTTCTGCAAACAGTCTACAGATGAGGGAAGGTCAGCACCCTGGGCTCCAGCTCCATTTCCGCTGGCCTTCTGGCCTCAGCCTTTGGCCGTCTTCGAGTCTCTGCGTCTATCTCCTTGTCTGTCTCTGCTCTCTGGTTCTCTGCTTCCATCTCTACGTCTTTGTCGCTGGACTCTTTGTCGTTCTTTGTCACAGCTGAGTCACAAGGCTGAGCTCCAGTGGCAGGGTCAGTCGCAGGCTCTCTCCTGTTCTCCATTTCTCTGTCTTTTCTCTCTGTCTCTGTTTCTTTTTGGGTCTCTGTCTCTCTATTTCTGTCTCTTTCTCTCTTTCCTTTTGTCCCTGTTCCCTGAGTTTCTATGATTCAGTCACCAGGATCCTTGGTTCCTGTCTCTGTCTCAGAGGAATCTCTGCCTCTTTGTCCTGCCTGCCTGTCTTCTCTCCTCTCTGCTCCAATGGTCCCTCCTTCCCTCCCTCCTTCCTTCTCTCTCCCTCCCTTCTCTGTCACCCCCCTCTCTCTGTCTCTCTAGGTGTTTCTCCTCTCTCTGTGTCTTTTTCCGTCTCTGTCTCTCCTCTCTCTCCGTCTCTCATCTCTCTTTGTTTCTGTCTCTCTGTCTCTCTCTTTCCCTCCTCCTCCTCCTCCTCCTCCATCCCCCTCTCTTTCCCCCTCCCTCCCCTCCCAACTCAATCCCTCTCTCCTCTCTTTCCCTCCCTGGGCTCTGAGGCTGTTGTCAGGCAATTATGGGAGAGGCCAGGCTGGGCTGGGTAAACACGGTACCAGCGGGATGTGAGGAATTCTGCTGCCTTGGCTTTGTACAAGGGTGTGGGAGAGGGAAAAGGGAGGGGTGGTCACAGAGCCCAGGGAAGGAGAGGAGACAGAATACTCATCTCTTCTCCTTTTGGGCTTCATTGCCAACCCCCAAGTGTCTGCCTAGTTGGAGAGAAGGAGCCTGAGGGTCTTTGCCCAGACTCTCTCATCCCTGTTCCTATCTCTCTCTACTCCCCCACTTCCCACAGCCCCCCAAGATCAGTTTATCTCTTGTGGCCAGGAATTCAAGGTCTATAAAGGAAGGGCCTTTCCTGGGATCCTGGGTTGATGGGAAGAAAGAAAGGTGCTGGGCCACAAGACGACAGTAAAGCTATATCCTGGGCAAGTAGGTGTCTCCTGGGTCCTGAAAAAAGCCTTTAAGGGAAAGAGGAAGTAGAGCAGCGTCTCTAACCCTGCTTCTCATTCCATGGCTAATCCATTGGAGCCTTAACTGCCTGTTCTGGTCGAGTGGACTCAGGAGACCTAGTTCCCAGTCCCCACCTCCTTTCTGTGCTCCCTGAATGTGTGTGCCCCTTGAAGTCCAGTTGGTAACCCTCCTTGGAGAGCTGGCCAGGCCACCCTGCTGCTGCTCACCTCCTTCCAGCTGCATTCAGAGAGGAGGCCGAGCAGCGAGAGAAGTACCATTTTGAGGGTGCCACCAAGTTCCCCCTCTACAGCTGAGGCAGATACCAGTCCCTCAACTTGGTGGGTGGTCTTCGACAGCCTCCTCCACCACTAATTTAATACTCTGTAGCCAGCCTGGGAAGGAGCTTCTCTGAACTTGAACCCAGCTCTCTTCACTACAAGGTCTTTCTACCCCAGACCTTTACTGCATTAGAAAGGCCAGACTGAGATTAGACTGAAGGAAGACCTTCCTCACTGTCAGTGACCAAGAGAGGTAATTCTGGCCAGACCATTCATGAAGGTGTAAGGACTCCCTCAGGGCTTGGGGGGGTGGGGGGAGAGGGGCATGGTTTGTTTGGAGTCCAGGGGACAGAAAATGCTCTGGGCAGGACGGTGGGAAGTGAAGGTGTGACTCCATCTGGGGATGGCGAGGCAGCTAGGCAAAGGGAAGTGGGGAGAACGGAGGCTAGAGGCACTGGCCTTGTTTTATCATGCAGCTGGAAACATCTGGCTAAACCATTGAGTGGCCTTCTCTTGGGCTTCTCCTCCCCCCACCAAGCCCAGTTCTGCCCGAGGCTTCCCTGGCGCCTAGTCCTTGGGTCCCAGCTCAAATCCCACTGTCCCAAGCCCCCATAACACTAGTACTCCCCCTGCATTGATCATCTCCAATTTCTTCTGTCTGTCTTCTTTCTACATCTCCCCCATGAGACTGGAAGCTTCTGGAGGACAAGGACAATCTTTTGCCTTACTTTGTGTTGCCTTTATTTGGTACAGTGTCTAGCAGGTACATAGTAGGTGCTTAATAAATGTTAGTGACTGACCGGCCTGTTGGTTTCATTGCTTCAGGGATCACTGAATCAAGGAGAAGGGAGCCCACAGACTCATTGGTGTTTGCCTCCTTCATGGTCCCTTTCTCTTCCTCCTCTCCTCCCATCCTTCTACTGTCTTTTCTTTCCACTTCCTTTTTTCTCTTCTCTCCTCTCCTCTCCTCCCTCTTTCCTGTTTGCTTCCTCCTCTCCTCTTCTCTCTCCTCCCCCCTCTTTAGCCTTTTCCCAGCCTTTACTTCCTATCTCTCCTGCCCCTCTTCCTCTTCTCCTTTTCTACTTCCTCACCTACTTCTCCCTCCTATTCCTCTCTTCTAGAGTTCCTTCTCTCTTTCTCTTCCTCTTTGTAATCCTTCATTCAGCTGACTTTGTTGCCCATAGGGCATAGGCTTCATTAACACTTTCTCTTACTCTCAAAGGCCACCAGTTAATGGCCTCACCAATAACCTCAGGGCTCTAGCCAATGATCTTCTTGCCATCCTCAGACCTTTAACCTATGTGAAGCCTTTGGTGGGGGCATACACTTTCCTTCTTGGAAATCTCTTCTCCTTTGCTTTCTGTAAAATTGGACTCCTGGGGCTTTCCCCCTTCTCGGCTCAATCCTGCTTCCTTCGACACTTCACTTTCCTCCCATCTCTCTCTCTCTCTCTCTCTCTCTCTCTCTCTCTCTCTCTCTCTCTCTCTCTCTCTCTCTCTCTCCTCTCCTCTCTCCTCCTCCCTTCCTCCTCCCCTCCTCTCCTCTCCTCCTCCTCTCTCCCTCTCTCCTCTCTCTCTCCTCTCTTCCTCTCTTTCTCTCCCCTCCTTCCTCTCTTCTCTCCTTCCTCCTCTCTCCTCCTCCTTCTCTCTCCTCCCTTTCATCTCCTCCTCCTTTTCTTCTTCTCCTCTCTCCCCCCTTTCTCTGTCTCTCTATCTCTCCTCTCTCTGTCTCTTTCTCTCCTCTCTGTTCCCCCTCTCTCTGTCTATCTCTCCTCTCTGCGTCTCTCTCCCTCCCCTCTGTCTCTCTGTCTGTCTCTGTCTCTCTCACCCTCTCCCTCCCCTCTCTGTCTCTGTCTCTCCTCTCCGCCCCCGACTCCTCCTGCCCGTCTCTCTCTCAGCTCCTGGGCTTCCATGACTTCAGTTCTTCCCCCCATGCTAGTGTAATGAATGGAGTGGCCAATGAGGGCTCTGTCCTTAGAGCCTGCGTGGATTTACCTTTCCTGGTGAGTTTTGCAGAGCATGCTGAGATGTTCTCTGCCTATTTCCAATCTAACACATGGAACTGTGGAGAGTCAGTTTCTGGTCATAAGTGACTGAGGTGCTGCTCCAGTGT